AGGCAAAGCAACAGCGAGAACACATTTGAACTTGGAAACGTCGTCCAGCCAAATGATCACTGGGCAATTCGTAAGTTTTCTGACTACGACAGAATCGCAGCCTCCCTTTGTCGTGAACTTGTAAAATTGAAAGCATTGAAAAGACCCTGTCCATGACCAATCACAGAAAAGTCATTTGCCGGACATAGGTACGGAAGACACTTGTCTCCAAAACTGTCACCTGTAACTTTGATGAGGCCTAACAAGTCCTTCGCCGAGCAGAGTATCTTCACCTTTGCAAGGGGCCGGGACATTGAGCGACTGCACTAACAAGTTCGAATAAAAAACTGAAGAAGCAAATTTACCATTCTGACGGTTTGCTCTTCAGTGTCAAGTGCAAGGAAGCTGTTAATAAACAAGGTGAGTGCGCACAAACATTTATTGACATGTCACTTATATATTTTAAAATTATGTAATCTGTACTAAGCTGGATGCAAGGAAAGTTATGTGACACCTTATGCTGCCAGTACGACTACAGAATAATTTGCCTTGCGTAAGTGACATTGCATGAATACTTGCATTTCTAGCATATTGTATACAGTCTAAGCCACCTATAACGATACCAGAAATAACGATCTATTGGTTATAACGACCATAGTTTGGTGCACTTATGATTTTCTTATGCTACCCTTTGAAACTGAGTCCACATACAGTGAACATTTATCAAAGCCTCCTACTTTTAAAACGAAGACTTTCGACACAGTCATGGTAAATGTAAATATCAGTCAAGGCGGATGAGCATCACAAGCATCACAAAATGGTCGTTATCGTCGAGATCATCGTTATCTCTAATCAATCGATTTCTGCCGGTTGCCAAAACTTTTTGTGGCACATTGGCGTGTGAGAGAGCTGAGTGTTGCTGTGAGAGCATCGCTTCTCGCATTTATGACTTCTTGCGTTCGAATCATCGACAATCGTAGATTCCAAGAATGGTGTCGGGAAAGTTTGCCGTGCGAAAGCTGACCACTATTTTTCATGCTGCCTCCCATTTCTTTTCATTTTTTTTTCCCCCTCACTTTCATTAGGCCGGTGAAGAAATATCTGGTAAGTGGAAGACCTAGCTCGCAAAGTTCGAAGTCTACATGTGGTGATCGCCGCGGTCTACAATATCTTCATTGCAAGTAAACAGCAGCGAAGCACACGTGAGCACGTGCCTACTTACTGCTTTAGAATGCCTGTTTTAACACTTTTTCTGCTTCCTACGTGCCATACATTTACCATGACTGTGTCAGAAGTCTTCGTTTTAAAAGTAGGAGGCTTTGATAAATGTTCGCTGTATGTGGACTCAGTTTCAAAGGGTAGCATAAGAAAATCGTAAGTGCACCAAACTATGGTCGTTATAACCAATAGATCGTTATATCTGGTATCGTTATAGGTGGGTATACTTATCCGTCAAGGCTCCGCCTTGAAGGATAAGCATCACAAAAGAGCAATGGCACGGTAGCCAGTGGCGATCAACCCGCCATTTTGTAGGCTCATCGCCGGCAACCTCATGTCAGTCATCTGCAGATAGCTGCTCAGCGTAGTGACGACGGTACAAGCACGTCATGCTGCCGTTCACAAGTTCACTGCTGTTGTGTCGTGCGAGGCCACTTGCACGTTTTGTTAGCAAAATTTTTCAGCGTGTTAAACGAACAGGCTACTCACCACACCCGAGTACGATCCCAAATGAAGCATGCGCGAAGAAAGCACAAACACGCGCATACTTTCGACTGGAAGAGAAAGGGCATGCGACAGTGGGAGCCGGGTAAGCGGCGTGCTGCACGCATCTAGCCTGCTATGATTGCTTCGACGTGGCGATACCACGCTTCAGTGGAATGGCGCGAGTCCATTGCGAAAACGGCTGTCGTTTATTAACACGCGAAAAGGCTTAACTTGTCAGCGGAGGGGCTGTTCGCACTTTTGAACGAAAGTGCACAAAAAAAAACGATTCGGCCACTCAGTGGTAGTTTTTATGGGGGGGGTCTATATACAACGAACTACTGATATAACGACCATTTATCACGGCACTTTCGAGTTAAACGGGTTCGACTGTACTGAGAGAAACTACACGCTCTTGGTTTCTTTTTTCTTCGTGTACTTCCAGGTTCTTTGAGCATTTCATGCGAGTATGTGAGAAAGGTACCACTAAAAAAAAACGCTACCTGAAACAAAAGAAACAAAGAAACCCAGCCTTTACAAAACTGCTGGTCCTGAGCCAGCAAAACAAGCGAATGGGAGCAAGGCTACTCAACATTAAAGGTCGTCTTGAGGAAGGGAGGGTCAAAGATTCAAATGTAGCAGATGAAATATCAGAGGAGAAAATATTGAAAGTGCCGTGAAAGCAGCAGGCAAGTGTTCGCGCTTGCTTTCAAGCTTCCAAGCAAACCAACAGAAAGGGCATGCGCTACAATAAAGCAAAAAACAAAAAAGTTCCCAACTCTATCAGCACATCAGGAAGAATAAAATACTCATGATGCCTAGCAAATAAACTTTCAAAAAGTACTTGAGATAGTACCAATCCGCATTTGGCTTTTAATGCTGCAGTAATAAATGCTCCAAAGAAGAAAACCGCCAGCACGATGGACCTCGAAAGGAAGGTGGGTTATTAGTACCCAAGATAAATCTGCCAGAACATTTCAGTGTGACAGCATCTGGCCGAATTCAAGGCTTTGTTGACCTGGGAAAATTTACAAGTTCTGAGGACAAGTACCAGCGATGTGACCAAGGCATGATCATGTAAGTGTTAGTCTGTATTTTTCTTAGCGCTGTTGCCTCCGCAGCGCTGAGCTTGCTATGAGGACGTGAATAGAGCTGCCTATTTTCCCTGTAATACTTTAGAATCATAGTTAAACAAGGGTCCAGGGGTGTAGGGTCATCTATTGCATTGTCTTGAGTGGCTCGGTAATTTGCCTACAATGCAAAGAAGTGCTTTTGTTTGAGCAAGCTGTCGCAACTGCTGAGCAGCTACTCTCACAATTCACGGAGCAATGCGACCAGGGTGGACTTCTGTATCCCTCCCGACAGCTGTACGATTTTATTGCCGTTCACCACGGTGGTCTAGTGGCTAAGATACTCAGCTGCTGACCCGCAGGTCGCGGGATCAAATACCAGCTGCGGCGGCTGCATTTCCGATGGAGGCGGAAATGTTGTAGGCCCATGTGCTCAGATTTGGGTGCACATTAAAGAACCTCAGGTGGTCAAAATTTCCGTAGCCCTCCACTACGGCGTTTCTCATAATCATATGGTGGTTTTGGGATGTTAAAACCTACATAACAATCAATTTCATTGCCAAACTTGAAAAGTTGTTTACTGAATGTTTCAGTGTTTCGATGCTGCATACTGACAGCATCTTTGACATCCTTTCATTGGTAACAACTAATTTTCTGAACTCTACAGCTGTCGGCTGTCCAGATCACAAAGAATAAGTGAGCATCAAGCTTGTTTCTTTATACATGCTCACTCGCTTGCACTTCCTAGTGAAGGGAATGAATAGGGAAAGCACTTGAGGTTTTTTGAGAATATTTATTTTGTTTTCAGATTTTTCTTTTGCAAGGAGCAGATGTATTCTTTAATAAAATATTTCGAACACTTCAGCTTCCTTAAACTGTCTCTTACTATCTTTCACCGGTGAAAAGGCTTTCGAGTTTCGAACACATGTTTGCATTGATGAAAATAAAGCCAAATGCGCAACAATAAAAGCTAGTAAATATGTATATATTTTATAATTCGTACTTTAAGTACCAGCACTACATGACGAATGAACTCATCCCATTAGAAAAAAAAAATGCCAGTGAAATAAATGCGTCCGCCCCTACCATTTCTTAGGAATTCGTACAGCTGCCGACCGAGAGACTTAAGTTTTTCTACACATTACGTATTGATACAAAATGCAAAAGAACTGCCTGCCTTAGTAGTTTACCAACAATATCACGTGTTCCACAAGGTATGCGCGTGAGAACTTGCTTTCAGAAATTTGTCTTGATGCCCAATGATAACAGCAGGTACAAGAGCGCAATCATGCCACATATGAGTTACATTGCACCAATTAAGTGTTAACTTAATTGTCAAATTTATTTTAACATTCTGGAAAGCATCATCGTTAATGCCTATATTAGCTTCTCGAGATATTGAGGCATGCATTCTCATGAAATCTTAATTTAATTAACGCTCTTAATTGTAAACAAAAAACACGAAAGCCACAGTACTTAATGAGTTACTAGCTACAAGCAGGGAGTTTCGCGACATTATGTTGCCTTAGAATTAGTTGCATGGGTGCCGAAACGCGGTGCGATGTCATCCACGACCTCGCACGAACACCGCAGCAACACCGCGCGGATGCGCCTGACAAGCGAGCAGCACGCGACTACCAGGACAACCTCAACCGCCCGTTCAGGCGGGCCCATAACCATGGAAACCATGGCCAGGTCTTCAGGTGAATGCAACGGTGGCGCCACCTGGATTTTCAGGGAAAAAAGTTTCAGTACGAAGCCCCATGTGGACCACTCTCCCCATTCTAGTACACTCCAGTCTTGCACATTGAAATACCAGTCTTCTAGCCAACAATCTGACCATATCCAAGGACTGAGCAAAAAAGAACATTCTGCGATTGCCTGGAACGAACACCCAAGTGGGTACCCATGGCTCTCGTGTACCAAGCAAATGGTGTAGGCCTAACCGTAAGCCAACAGGTATTTAGTGTACAGACACCTGTTGAGTTTATTTCATATGTACTAAAACCTGGAGCAACATATTCCATAATTTTAGCCATACTGAGTGAAAATATTCTCCATGAAATTGCCACATCACTTTCTGGCCCCTTCGCAACAAAATGGAACTCATCTTTATCAATAAAAAATTATGTACGCCTTGAAGATGCCAACAATATATGCCCGGGCAAGTCAGTAGTTAAATACACTGCTGAAGAGGCACAGAATAGAAATGTATTGGACAGGCCATGGTGAAGCGGGCACCGAGCTTGCCTTGCTGTGATGGGGTGTTATGCAAGTGACGGTGGCCTCCTTGAGCAAGGAGGAGCTGCAGTTGCGCAGGCGTCGCAGCTGAGCGTGAGCGGCCCCCAGGGTGATGGTGGCCACGCCTTGGTGATGGCCCGGCAGGCTGGTCTCCAGCAGCAGTGGTTTCTCGGGCCGCCTCCCCAGTGGTGGGCTCTGCTCCTCGGGCAGCACCTGCAGGCACCGCTGGGCCTGCTGGCTCTGCAGCATCTGCAGCTGCACCTATCACAAAAGAGACACCTCACAAGACTAGTCGCAATGCAAGAAATACCAAACCGAGTGTCACTCACCACCGACAATGAGGACCTACCCTCATCACAAGACAAACCTCAAAAGACAAAGCTGGTTTCCTACTTTTTTTTTTCTTTTTTTGGTTGGAGTGCTATGACAAGGCATCAATGTAGAGGTTTCCATGCATAAACCATAACCAAAAAGAGAATACATCTAAGAGTACTGCACGCTGGGCGAGTTGGTAATTCATATAACTGCACGAAAAATTGATAAGATACAGAGAAGGCACACACAAAAGCGCAAAATAGCAGGAATATATTTGCTGTGAACTGTGGGGGCTCGAAAGATCATCACCCTTTGGAACAATCAGAGGAAGCAGACCCGATCGGGCAAATCAACACATTATGTGCATTTCTTCAACTACTTTTACATGAACCATATCACCAGCTTAATAAAAAATATGCCACTATTGACACCTTAAAACAACCTAACACCCAATACACTCAATCAACATAACAACAAGCACGAGGTAACGTGAAGGCAGCATCCTCAATGTTTGACTCCCCAGGAGGGGTCCGCGGGAGACAACTCGCGTTGCCGTCGTCTAAGGAGCTGCTGCTGGAGACTCCCAATGCCAAACGAAACCCGCTCATGTCTTCTGCGCTGCCCCCCCAGCTTCGCCACTGGGCGTCACTGCTCTTTGGCATTTACAAAACAGCAGGAAGCAGCACTGTGAGTCGTTACCCGCAGTCCCCTCAGGGTGATTCAAACATCAGCGAAGCTGCCTTCGCGTTACCTTGTGCAATTTGTTATGTTGATTGAGTGTGTTCAATTATTGTATAAAGTTGTTTTAGCATGTCACTAATGGCATACCATATTTGCTAACGTAATGAACCCACCTCCAACTTTGGTCCTTAAAAAAAACAAAAATATGTTTTTCAATGTACCCACTCCATCCTTACCTAATGTATCCACCCCATCAGAATGTAACAAACACCATTCTTATTCCTCCAGCTAGTTTGCTCTTATAATGAGGCTCCAGGGATACTATCTGTCCTAAAAAGTTACATTTCTTTACAACTTCCAGCATCTCTCCAACTATTACAAAGTGTTGTTTTCTGCCAAGACTGTTGCACATTATTTCGGTATCTAAAGTAAAGCTTATATTATATAAGCACAAAACTTATATAAGCTAATATCCTTGTGAGACCCAAGTATTTCTTTACAACTTACAGCATCTCTCCAACTATTGCAAAGTGTTGTTTTCTGCCAAGACTGTTGCACATTATTTCGGTATCTAAAGTAAAGCTTATATTATATAAGCACAAAACTTATATAAGCTAATATCCTTGTGAGACCCAAGTATTTCTTTACAACTTACAGCATCTCTCCAACTATTGCAAAGTGTTGTTTTCTGCCAAGACTGTTGCACATTATTTCGCCATCTAAAGTAAAGCTTATATTATATAAGCACAAAACTTATATAAGCTAATATCCTTGTGAGACCCAAGTTACGATTCCTTTTTTAATTTAACAAGGCAACACATTATTTTGGACAAATGAGACCACCTTATCATGGTGAAAAAGTTTAAGGGGCGACAAGGCACTTAGAAGTCGAAAATCGGCCCATATATTGCATTTCATCTCATCATTTTCGCGTTCCCGATGCCCTTCCGCACCTATCAGCAAAGTTTTGCTTCAAAATTCTACTTATTTCTAAGGTTATAACCCATAAAGAAAGCAACTTCCTGCAAACGGGCCTTTAAATTGAAGTGTAAACTAGCCGTACTTACACCGCTGATGGCACGTGAACTACGTGCTCTACCACTGCCATTTTAGTCTTGTTGGAAAGGTCCCGTTTATAGCTTTTTTTTTTTCTTTTTCAGTAGACAACTATGTGCCCCTCGCAAAAGGAAAAAAAGCAAAGTCAAAATCACGCACAGCGTGTGGTTCTATTGGTTGCTTAACGCACGTGACCAAAATGGCGCTTCCCGGTTGGCCAGAAAAACTTGCTGGCAGTGTCTCCCGTCATTTTGAAGGGGTACCGTCTTTGCGACGGTAGCGTGCCTAGAAGGAGGAACTGTGCTGAGCGCTGCGTGTTTCCCTTGCCAGAGTAGGCCCCTCTGTGGGCTGATGCCGCTAGGGGCGCTGCTGCAAAGGGCGCTGCATGGGACAACCGCCCCCGTCGCAAATTGCTCGAAGGAAGCCTAGTGCTCAAATGTGCAGCCTCTCCCCTCCCCCCTTCTTTTTTCGGCGTTCGCATTGTTTCATAAATTTTATAGCTTTGAGGATGATGCCTTATAAAACAATAAAGAAAACTTAGTGTTCTCGCATCATTCCTGATTGTAACATTAGGTGCAGGTAGGGGTGTGTAAAAGTTCTATAAGCTCGAATAACGAATCGAATGTACTTGTTAATTGAATAACACATATTTGAAATGCCCAGTATTTTTCAAATATTTAGCACAAGCGGAAAAACTCCAGAAAAGGAATACATATTAGAACAACATAGCAATTATTTTTTTAATTGACGTAGTTTTATTTAAAAGGTGGCACCAAGTACCTCCTTAAATTTGTAAATTACCGCCCTGTTTGAGCGAACAGTTATAAAATTTTCATTGACTATCACTGCCTACACAAGTTTACCCCAGTTAATCTAAGAATGCCATCTCTTCCGGTAAAAGTTAATGGTAACAATCCTTTTGTTAATGTTTCTGACTTTTGATTACAAGATGAATATTGATGCATACAATTGTTCTCAAAATTGTTCTCTTACTATTCAAATAACGATCAATTTGTATTCTATCCATTGTAATTTATGTCATTTATATCATAAAATTTCGAGCGGTCTTGCATCGCGATCGACCGTCAACCGATAGATTGAGTATGCGCCTTGTTCTCTGAACCTGGGGAGAGAACTGCCGAATCCAATGAAGACTGTACTCAGGCATCGCAGTGCAGTGCCAGTGGCAACATCAGCACGCGCTGAATATGCACCGCAGCTGCACGAGAAGCTAGCAGAAGCTTTACATAAAGCTTGACATAATCTCAGCACTGCTAGGGCACAGCAGAAGGCGCAGTACGATTGCACGCATCGGAAGTATGCTAAAAAGTGGGCCATTTGGAGCTGCGGTGCCATCATGTTCAAAGCGACGCTAGCAAACAGCCTGCTGCCTCACTGGCACCGAAATGGTCTGGGTCGTACTGAGTGCGAGAAAAAGTTTCCTCGTTCGTTTACCGGCTCGCGAACACGCAAGGCAAACCGAGCGGCAGACCGGTGCATGTATGTGATTTGAAACACTATGTGGCACGGGAGGAGCGTGAGGACTACAGCCTGTCCCCCTCCAAGCAGCGCCCGGCGGATAATATCGCTCGACACCGAGTGAGGAGCCCAGAACCCCGTTACTTTTTGCGTAACAAGCGGAGACAACTCTCCACGGCAGGCCTGGTTTGTTATGTTCGACGCAAGGTGCAACGGTTAGCGTGCAACACAAGTGCGATTGTTAACGTGTCTTTTTTTCTTGTCGATTTTCACAGAGCAGAAGGAGAGTCAAAAGGGAAAAAGGTGCCGCCGGAACATCTCAGAGAGGAGACTACTGTTCCCACCAGTTCACCCCCAACACCATCCATGTCGTCATCACAGCCCCACCCAATCAAGCAGCGCCCCTACCAACCTACCCCATCGCCCTCATCAGCGGACCTTCACGCAAGAGGTGTCAGTGTGACTAAACGCAAGCCCAGCTGGGAGAGCCAGCTGTCTCGGAGCTGCTGTCAAGGAAGAGCCTGCTTAGCCGAGCCATTGTTGTCCGGGCACCCTTATGGCCTCTGCTACCTCAAGGCCATGGCGCGACACGCCGAAAATGACTCTTGAGCCTGCCGGACAGGGGAAGCCACGTCTCGTTGCTGCATCCCAGACTGTGCTGAAGAGGGCGGCATAGGACCAGTGCTGACCAAGACTTGTCACCGACTGGCCACCTGTCACAAAACGAGCGCTCAAAAAAGGGCGCACCACCAAATTCTCGCGACGAATCGCCGGAGAGACGCCTCGAGGTTAATCATAAAGAAGAAAAACAAGCATCCAAAGACACCCCGGGTGCTCGTCTCTCTCCCCTCGAAAGCATAGGTTCGCCGACGAACCTCCTCCCATTGGCGGCCGAGCAAGCCCTGGAAGGTTCTCGATGGAAAGGGGCGTGGTGATGCAATGTTGCGTCGTCTGTCGCGGACGGCCCTTGAGCCGTCTCGCGCTTTCCCCAGCCTTCGCTGCGTATCGCGCCGACGAAACGAAAATTTTCTGGAATCTAGCGCGAAGTGTATTTAACCGAGCAGCAGAGATGGGAGATGGGAAGAAGAAGAAAGTATGCGCCAGAGTGCGTAGGGTGTTCCGCTGTGTCGTCAGCGAAGGTTTTGTCCTCAGTGACAAAGCAGGAGAAGAAGGAATTTCAGGCCAGAGTGCGTAGGGTGTTCCGCCTTGTCGGCGAAGCCTTTTGTCCTCAGTGACAAAGGAGGAGAAGAAGAGGATTTCCACCTGAGGGGTGGAGACTCGTGCTACAGGCAGGGGTGTGTGCCTACCGCCAGCGAGCGAAGACGCGTGGCAACCGCTGCGCGTGGGAAGCCGACGTGTTACCGGCGAAGAATTTAGGTGCTTGGAGAGCGGCCCATGAAGACGCAAGGTTTCCTGGAAGAGAATCTTCGGGGGCAGCGAAACGACAACAGCACTGGACTTTGAGTGAGTGATTCTCGAAAGAGTATCATTCAGACTTTTGTTCCAAGGACTTTGGACTGAATAGGTTTTCGAACTCTTTAGTCTTTAAGTGTCTTGGTTGTTCGATGCATGCGATTGCATTGTAGCACGTATTGTTGTTTGTGCCCGTTGCTTCGAGTGTGGCTGATTGTACTGTGTAGTACGTTGTTCGATTGGTGACATATCGTATTCAACTATTGTCGAGTGTGCATATTTTTGTATCGACTTGATCTGCCATAATTGAGAATATA